TAGATATATTTTATCTGAAAATCAAAATTTTGAAAACATATATTGTTCTGCAACACATTGAACAAAAAAATAATCCGTTTTTTTTCAATGAATTTCATGACTGGCCTAACTTGTTTCAAAATTTAAATACATATAAAACAATAGTCAGGCAGCGCAAATAATTATTTATGTTGCTTAATTGTAAATGAAATACAAATTGACAAAGGATATTGCAAATAAAATAATTAATGCTTCATTGTAAATGAAATACAAGTCGACATGAGATATTGCCACATGAATTGTTAGCTAATAATATACAAGAAAGTCTAATATTTTGGCTCAAAAAAATCCCGAGCTATTTTCCAATGTAAAAGAATTCTTCTTAAGCTGTTTCATTGAAAAACAAAATGTAAAATTGATGACACTTTCTGATTTAGCCCCCGTTTGAAGGAAATTTTTACTGATGGTTAAAAAATTGATAAAAAGCGTGGATCCCAAATTTGTGAATGAAATTGAATTTGAAAAAAATTTGTTTTAAAAAATGAATCCAAAAAAGAATTAAATAATAAGGTTTAGCTTATTGTTGTTATTAATGGAATATTTCCTCACGTTAGCCCCAGTTTGATGAGAATTAAAATCAAAATTTAATAGATTTTACAAAAGTTTATTAAATTTGTTGATGATAAAATTTCGAGTTGTATTAAATATATGATTAAAATTAATTATTGACTTCAACTTAAATTTAAATATGAGTTTTTATCCCTACCAAACTGGGGCTTAAAAGTAGTCGTGCAAATAAATGTTGAGAAAAGTCTATATCTTTTGATCATTCAATTGTATATGAAGCAATATATTTTGCAGTTAAGCTCTGTTTGTTTGAACTAAGTGCGTGTTTGATTGTCAATATTTTTTATGAAAAAATGTGTTTTTTCATCTAATTTTCTATTTTTTTGTTGTTTGATTGACAATTTTTTACGAAAATTATTTTCTATTTTTTGGTCACGTGATCATATTTTCCTTGGAAAATATTTTTTTGGGGAGATGTGGTTTTTATTTTTTAGGTAATTCGCTCTCTTTCTCTCTCTAATCTACCTACTAATAAAAATATGGACAAGTATGATAGGCCGGTTT